ACTGATGCTTTTGGGTTAGGGTTAGGGTTAGGGTTAGGGTTAGGCTTTTGAACTGTGGTGTTGGAGAAGACTCTTGAGAGTCTCTTGGACTGCAAGGAGATCAAACCAGTCCATCCTAAAGGAAATCAGTCCTGAATATTCATTGAAAGGACGGATGCTGAAGCTGAAACTCCCAATATTTTGGCCACCTGATGAGAAGAACTGACTCATTGGAAGAGACCCTGATGCCGGGAAAGACTGAAGGCAAAAGGAGTGCACAGCAGAGGATGAGGTGGTCGGATGGCATCACTGACTCGAAGGACATGGACTGGAGCAAACTCTGGGAGACAGTGAAGGACAGGGAAGGCTGGTGTGCTGCAGGCCACGGGGTCGCAAAGAGTCGGACATGACTGAGCAACTGAACAACACTGTACCTGAGTCAGGTGACTGACAGAGCAGCAGGGACCCTGTAAATCCCATACGGGTCAGAGAAAGAACTTGCTGCCGATGGATCGAGAGCCTTATGGTGAGGACCCCCCAGGTCTCGGAGGACACTCACATTCCTGCACAGCCCTCCCTCCCGCCAATGCCACCCTACGTGAAACTCCCAAGACAGAACACACCTGTCCATGTAGGGGAGTCATCGCATCTTGGGAAGGTGCTGGATCCAAGAAGAGCTAAGTGTGAACTGGACCTGCCTCCCCACAGGGTCCACCCACCAGGCCCAGAGTATCCAGAGCCCCTCTCCACAAAACGGCCAAGCATCCAGAAACCTTCCCTGCTTTCACTGCGCTCTCCCAACATGTTACAGCGCCAGTTCCTTCACTGTTTCCTGCGGACACGCGTTCAGAGGACTTATTCACTAAGTGCCCGGGGAGCACTCACCAGGCGGGGCCTGCTCCGAGAACCGAGGGCCCTGTTCAAGGCCCTGTGTTCCTGCAGGTGGGGGGAGGGGGCCCCTGAGACCTCAGCGCGCCCCTCCAGGCTCTGCTCCCTGCTGGGTTTAGGGCTCAGCAGAACACAGGAACCACTGTGAGCTGGTCCCTCCTGGTCCGGATTCCGTGCTTCTTCCTCTGCATCCTAGCAAACTTGACTCCCATCCGGCATTGTTGAAAATTGATTCAGAACAATCACCTATTCTAGTGCCTACTCAAAAATAATTTCCAGCCTGATGATCTGCTTACTTTCCTGGTGGCCCAGGGGCTCACAGGACCTAAAATGAGCAGAGAAGAAAAGGGACAAAGATGGGCTGTTTAACGGAACCACAGAGAGTAACTGTCTCCCTACAGGGAAAATTAAATTCCTACATCGATGTATACAAAATAAGATTTAGTACAATAGTTCAGTATTAGAAGAAAAAGGAGACAGTCTTTATGTTTTTAAGTAGGAAGAATTGCTTAAATGACAAGTAAACAGAAAACAACAACAAAAAAATATTGACTGGTTTGAAGAAATCAAAACCTTATTGCGAAAGACCCCACACAAAGTTAAAGACAACAAGCCATTTGAAGTTATTTAGAGTATTAGTGACAAGGGATTAATGACTAAAATTTATAAATAATGTCAGGAATCACTAAAGAGAAGACAGATAACCCAACAGAGAAATAAACGCTATAGACCTAACAGAAGCAGAAGATATTAAGAAGAGGTGGCAAGAATACACAGAAGAACTATACAAAAAAGATCTTCATGACCCAGATAATCACGATGGTGAGATCACTCACCTAGAGCCAGACATCCTGGAATGGGAAGTCAAGAGGGCCTTAGGAAGCATCACTACGAACAAAGCTAGTGGAGGTGATGGAATTCCAGTTGAGCTATTTCAAATCCTAAAGATGATGCTGTGAAAGTGCTGTGCTCAATATGCCAGCAAATCTGGAAAACTCAGCAGTGGCTGAGGACTGGAAAAGGTCAGTTTTCATTCCAATCCCAAAGAATGTTCAAACTACTGCACAATTGCGCTCATCTCACATCCTAGCAAAGTAATGCTCAAAATTATCCAAGCTTGGCTTCAACAGTACATGAACTGAGAACTTCCAGATATTCAAGCTGGACTTAGAAAAGGCAGAGGAACCAGAGATCTAATTGCCAATATCCACTGGATCATAGAGAAAACAAGAAAATTCCAGAAAAACATTAACCTCTGCTTCATTGACTACACTAAAGCCTTTGACTGTGTGGATCACAACAAACTATGGAAAATTCTTCAAGAGATGGGAATACCCTCCACCTTACCAGCCTCCTGAGAAATCTGTATGCAGGTCAGGAAGCAACAGTTAGAACCAGACAAGGAAGAATGGACTGGTTCAAAATTGAGAAAGGAGTACCTCAAGGCTGTTTGTCACCCTGCTTATTTAACTTCTTTGCAGAGTACATCATGCAAAATGCCAGGCTGGATGAAGCACAAGCTGGAATCAAGACTGCTGGGAGAAATATCAATAACCTCAGATATGCAGATGACACCACCCTTATGGCAGAAAGTGAAGAAGAACTAAAGAGCCTCTTAATGAAAGTGAAAGAGGAGAGTGAAAAAACTGGCTTAAAACTCAACATTCAGAAAATGAAGATCATGGCATCTGGTCCCATAACTTTCATGGCAAATAGATGGGGAAACAATGGAAACTGGCAGACTTTATTTTCTTGGGCTCCAACATCACTGCAGATGGTGACTGCAGCCATGAAATTAAAAGACTCCTTGGAAGAAAAGCTAGGACCAACCTAGACAGCATATTAAAAAGCAAAGACATTACTTTGCCAACAAAGGTCCCTATAGACAAAGCTACAGTTTTTCCAGTGGTCATGTATGGATGTGAGAGTTGGACTGTGAAGAAAGCTGAGTGTTAACAAACTGATGCTTTTGAACTGTGGTGTTGGAGAAGACTCTTGAGAGTCCCTTGGACTGCAAGGAGATCCAACCAGTCCATCCTAAAGATCAGTCCTGAATAGTCATTGGAAGGACTGATGCTGAAGCTGAAGCTGAAGCTCCAATACTTTGGTCTCCTAATGGGAAGAGCCAACTCACTGGAAAAGACCCGGATGCTGGCAAAGATTGAAGGAAAAAGGAGAAGGGGGTGGCAGAGGATGAGATGGTTGGATGGCATCACCAACTCTATGGACGTGAGTTTGAGCAAACTCCGGGAAACAGTGAAGGACAGGGAAGCCTGGCGTGCTGCCGTCCATGGGTCGCCAAGAGTCAGACACGACTAGTGACTAAGCAACAGCAACAACAGGAACAGACAATTCACATGGAAACCAAAATTGTCAACAAAATATTTCATTAAATGTCCAACCTCAGCAGTAACAGAGAAACACAAAATATGTCATGCACTAGTTTGGCAAAATGTTTAAAAGAGTCTGAAAACATCCTCCCACTTACTAGAAATTGAAATAGAGAGCAATTACCAGCACCTAATAAAAGGAAAATATACAGACTTTTAGCTGCAATTGCACTTCTGTGGCTGTAACTGCAAGAAACTCAAGATGCTACTGCAGCCATATCTAACAGCCAAAATTTTGGGATAATGTGGGTGTCCGTCAGAGAGGGAAAGAACAAAAAATCAGTAACACATTGAAGGAACAAAGAAGTTGCAGAAAAACATGTGTACTGTGATTCTACTGACGAAACTCTGAAAATGCAGAGAACAGCTCTATGTGCTGTCTGGACACAGACTGCTTTCACTGAATTTAAAATGTGAAGATGAGAAGGTAGACTATGTGTCAGATTCAGGATAGCAGCTGCCTCTGGTGGGAAAGGGGTGGTGGGCGGGATTGAGGTTTTCAAAGGTGGCACTGGTTGGTTTCAACACGCTCCGAAGCAAAGACACTCTGCCTTATCCTGGCGTGGTGGCTACTGAAGCGTTATCGCCAAGCTTGGATGCTGAATGTTCAGTCATCTTTTATCCGCCCCCAAGTTAAACTTCCTCCCAATTGAAAGAGGAAACACACAAACACAAATAGAAGCTGGCACTTTAGTGAATAACTCAGCAGCTCCTAATGAGCACACCACCCGACTGAATCAGAATAATTAGAACCCTCCTGTCATTTAGAAAGGGCTTCCCTGGTGGCACAGATGGTAAAGAATCTGCCTACAATGAGGGAGACCCGAGTTCGATCCCTGGGCCAGGAAGATCCCTAGGAGAAGAGAGTGGCAACCCAGCCATTTAGAAAGTGCTAGGACAGGCCGAGACCCTCCACAGCCCCGCGTTCTCCCCACAACATTCAGTGCGGAGTAGAGGACTGTTGTAAAGGAAAGTGGATTCGTTTCCCTGAAGACCATTCTGACAAGGAAAGGAGACGAAGATCCGTGTGCACTGCCACCCAGGCTAGCTTTTCTGTGCTTTATTTCTGCCTATTTCTCTGAGAAGGCAGGATGACCCCAGAGCCTGGGCCAACTACACTCACGCTCTCGTGAGGGTCTACGCCATCAGTCCCACACTGGAGGCACGAGAAACCTCAAGGCAGGTCTGAGGACCGAGCCACAGCTCCAGGGAGGTGCCCAGGAGAGTTGATGTCGCAGCATCTCAGATCCCAGGTACACGGCGGGTGAGGACCTTCCAGCACCCCCCACGGGCAGCCTCGGTCCATGCGGCAGGATCGGCCCGGCGGGGAGGACCTGGAGAGCAGTCCCTGGGGGGAACCACAGGGCCAGACGCCCAGGCATAGCCCAGAACAGGCCTGAAGCCAAGCACTTCCTGAATTTCAGGGCTTCGCTGTGCCCCCGGCCTAAGGCATGTGAGAACTGAACAGGCAGCAGGAGGCGGAGGCCCCCGGTTGCCATGGCAGCGGCCCTGCTGGGCGTGCTACTGGCAGAGAGCTTCACCGAGCCCCTGGCACCCAGGGGCCATCCTGCTCCCTGGGGACCCTTGGGGCAAGGAGACCCCGAGACCCGCAGGAGGATCTGACGAGGTTTTGGTCATCCGGCTGATTTGGGCACCGTCCATGCACACGGACATTGCAGGGGGTTCTCTCCCTGCCCCTCCTCACCTTCCCACCGCGGGACCGATACAAACCAGGTCCACACCATGCTGGCCTCCGCCACCTGGTCAGAGATCGTGGCGGAGATCCCCAGTGAGAAGGTAGACCTTCAAAGGACAGGAGAGCTTGGAATACTCTCCTTCTTCCACGAGCTCCCGCCCTGTTAGCGCGCCGTCCCGCTGGGGCCCTTAGACGTTCACAGCATCGCAAGCCTGGGCATGTGGACCTGTCCCCGACACCCGGATTTCTCCAGGTGGTCCCTGCGCCTCCGTCCAGGAGTAGACGCGTGCTCCCCGGCCTGCAGACCCCCAAGCTCAGGAAACGCCAGCCACTGACCTGCAGCTTCCTCTTTACAAAGTCCCTGAGGACGCGCACGGCTGCTGCTGCGGTGGCCTCCGCGGGCCTGGGCCGGGGTCCCTCGCCCTCCGCCGGGCGGGCCGGCCGGTCGTGGGCCATGGGGGCCGCTGATGAGAACGCACAGCCGCTTGGCAACCGAGACTGGCGAGGTGCCCGGGGAGGCCCCTGGAGTGATCAGGGTCCCTGGGGGTTTCCCTACCTTTCAAAACACGCGCCTCCAGGACAACAAGCGGGAGAAAGGGCAGGGCGGCCTCGCGCACCGCGGGTGCCCAGAGCCGCAGGCACCAGGAGCGGGCAGAGAGCGCCGGGGTGACGGACCGGCCGGCCCACGCGATGGCCCGGACGCTGCGGCGCTCCAGGGCGAGGCCACGATCACGGGGAGGGCGGGGTCCGGCCGGCGGCGCGGCGCGCGGTCCCCACTTGCAGGAGGCGGCGGGGACATCGCCGCAGCGCGCTCGGTGACCGGAGTCCAGCCGCAGACTCGGCACACGGCACCCCCCCGCGCCGCCCCCGCTCTCTGGCTTCGGGCTCAGCCGGCTTCAGTGCATGAGTCAGTGAGGACCGAGCAACAAGCACCCAGTCCGAGGGCTCAGACAGTGGACGCCCGCGCTCACGTCTGCGGGCCGGAAGTCCTCCAGGCCGGTGCTCCCGCCCCTCTCCTCACCTTTCCCCCGGTCCGCACACGCCGTTCCTCTGCGCATGTCTGTGCCCTGGGCGCCTTGCTCACAAGGACGCGACTCATACGGGATCAGGGCCACCCTAACGATGTCGCTGTCATCTAATCATGTCTGTGGAGGCCGCTTCTGCAAATACGGTCACATTCTGAGATCCGGGCGGTCAGGGTCCTCACACGTGGACTCTGAGGACACAGCTCGGCCCCAGCGAGGACGGGATCCATGTGCTGGGTCTCGACGGGGGCCCTCGTTCAGCAGGGATGCGCGGGCAGCCTGCTCCAGCAACCTCGCCCTGGGGGCTCCTGGCCTGGCAGACTCTCTCAGTTCAGCTCAGTCGCTCAGTCGTGTCCGACTCTTTGCGGCACGCCAGGCCTCCCTGTCCATCACCAACTCCTGTAGTTTACTCGAACTCATGTCCATCGAGTTGGTGATGCCATCCAACCATATCCTCTGTCATCCCCTTCTCCTCCCACCTTCAGTCTTTCTCAGACTCTCTGGCACGTCACTGTCTAGAATGACCTAATGTAAAGTGGAGATTACAATCCCTTGTCTCTACAGAAGTGAGGACACAGGGCTCATGAGATGACCGTCACTCACATCCCTCCCCTCCCCTCGCCGGGTCCCCTGTGGTCAGAGCCCAAAGTCCACTTTGGGTCGAACCCTAAAGGAGAGCCTGCGGCTGGCATGGGCCTGCCGCCTAGGGACCATCCCCACTCTGGTGACAGACCCCCTATGCCAACAGCTTCTGAGTGTGTGCGGAGGTGAGTCTGAAACAGCGGTGGCCCCCGGACGGAGCTTAGGAAGGACCCGCCTGGCCAGGAGCCTGGAGGGAGGTGAGTGTCTCTGAGCTCTGAATCTGAGGACGCCTGCATTTTCAATTCATGAGCCCCAAAATTACTTTTTCGCTCAAGCCAGTCACATTGGATTTTGTATCTGTAGTGGATTCTAACAGCCAATTTGGGGGTTTTATGCAAAGCCAAACGAATTCACAGACTCCTGGAAATCCATAGAACAGAGTGTCCGCTCCTCTACAGAAAGAGTAGAACAAACAGTCACAGCGAAGGAGCAAGGAGAATCCTGGAAGCCAGAAGCCTGTCTTCTCATGAAAAAGAGACCGTGTGGAGCAGAGGGCAGGACCAGGCAGGGTCTGGGCACATTACGGTCACCCGTTCTCTCCTGTCCAGTCAAAGGGCATTTAGTCTGTACCTGGGTGTTGATACTTTAAAACTCTTGCTCAGAAGCTGTATCAATGTGCATTTATTAGAGTCTGGATCAAATCAATGACTATCAGTTTAAATAAAGACTTTGCTTTTGTTTTATTGCTCATTCAGTCCTGTCCGACTCTTTGAGACCCTGTGGACTGTAGCCCACCAGGCTCCTCTGTCCACGGGATTTCCCAGGCAAGAATACTGCAGTGGGTTTTTGTTTTATTCATAGTTCCTAACAAGCTATGACCCTCCAGATAGGGCTCGTCTCGTAACCTCGACAGTACAGTCACCACCTAAGCCCGCTCTGTTCACAGGACTACCCGCGGGGCACAGGCTCTGAGTGGTGGGTCTGTGACTCACCCACAATGCTGAAAGGGAAACTGAGCACAGACTGTCTTTGAAGACCTCCACCTCAGGTTCAAGGATGGCAGGAGGCATTTGAGTTTAAGAGGACAATTTAGAATAAAGAGAGAGAAATCTTACTTTATGAAGCAGATAGCAAAACTGTAAGGAGATGGCTACTTCAAAAGCTTACACTGATTTAGAATGCTGCTGCTGCTGCTAAGTCACTTCAGTCGTGTCCGACTCTCTGCGACCCCATAGACGGCAGCCCACCAGGCTCCCCCGTCCCTGGGATTCTCCAGGCAAGAACACTGGAGTGGGTTGCCATTTCCTTCTCCAATGTATGAAAGTGAAAAGTGAAAGTGACTTAGGATACTGGTGAGTTATCAAGTATTTAAACTAGCCCAAGGATGATGGATCCATAGTGAGTGGCATCACCGTAGAAGAGGATGATTCTCTGCCTTGAGCAGCGGTCCCCGACCCTTTTGGCACCAGGGGCTGATTTGGAGGAAGACAGTTTTCCCAAGGACCAGGGTTGCAGGCAATGGTTTCAGGGTGACATCCAATGTTATCACTGATCTGACAGGAGGTACCAGCCCAGCCTGGAGGTTGGGAACCTCTGGCCTTGAGGTTCACTTACCATCTGCTGTGATTACCCACCCCCATACCCTCCCACAGCGGTGTGAGGGCGCTGGTTCATTTCTCGGTGAACTCTGGACCAGACGGCTGGATGCTCTTGGGGATGTTTTACTTGGGGGCTGCTGAGGCCCCATCCCTGACCCCGTAGTGAGCTGCACGTGTTCTGCTGGGAGCTACACATTTCCATCTGCTCACTGCACCTGGCCTACTTGCTCTGACACACGGGACCCATTCCTGAAGTTTATTCTGTGGGTATAGTCGCCGCAGAAGGCAGAAACAAGATGCTGTTTCCCTTGTACGTGGCATTAAAAACAACCCCCTCTGCCCTGCAGTTATGCTATTTCTGTATCCTGTTTCTGAGCATCCTTTATCCAAGGTAAAGGGATGGACTCTCCTGCCAGACTGCAAGCTACTAATGGCAAGCCCACCCATCGAGGGCTGCACCAAGCCCCCAGCAGGCGCAGATCAAGAGCCCTGCAAGTATTTATGATGAGGACAGACCGTCATCCTCAGGAAAACCAAAGGGATGTCTTACAGCATGCAGCAGGACCCTCCTGATCTTCTCAGTCCATCTCAAAGTAAATCTCTTGCAACTGAAACTTTAGTCATAACTTAGAAAATAAATCTCTGTAAAGAACCTATAATATGCCTGAAAATCTCTGTTCTATTTTCCAGTGCAGGGGCCATCTTAGTATTGATACTGTCCTGCGTGACAGAAAGTGGATCCATGGTTCTCTGTACTCTGTTTTCAAAAAGCAACAAACGGGGTTTTAAGGGCTTGAGGCTGTTGGAGCCACACACGGGAAGGACTGGCAGTTTCTTCCCTGAGATTCTAGCTGCGGACACGCTCAGCCCACCCGCCTCGATTTCTCTGCAGCTTAGCTGCCATCAGCTTCCTGGGAACTAAGTCTTCATTGATAACATGGGAGAGAGGATCAATAAAGTGGCGAATGTTTACCGAACACGTTTTTCAGACCCCTCCCTCTCCTCAGCCCTTGGCATGGTCCATTACATTTCTGCCGATGCTTTGTTATAATTTAAACAGCAAATGTTTGGGATTAGCTGTCTTCAGGTAATCTTTAATACAAACTGCTTTTTAAAACTCCTCTCTGTTCATGGCGATTAAATGTGGTGGAAATCTGTTACAATTTCATGTTTTTAAAACAATAATACAATTACATTTCTCCTTGCTAATCTGAGCAAGTCAAAACTTTGTTGCTTACACTTTATATCACCAAACAGCAGTGTATAATGCCTTTGGAAGCTTTCCTCTCATCCTATATTAAACACAGAATGTCCTATATTTATATAAAAATCACCATCTCTAGGTTGAACCTATTCACCACCCTTCCACTGTGGTTTTTCTCATATTGTAAAAACACAAAACATATAGGCTCAGTTGGCTTTAATAATAAAGCACATCACGGATTAGAAATATATCCATAGGGAAACAGATTAACCGCTGTCATTATGGGAGTTCATCATGTCATTAGAAACCCACTTGGACTGCTACGTATTTAGTCTGCATTATGTGATGCGTGGTTTTCACAAAGCTCCTATGATTGCGACAGGCGGTATGGTTGTTAAACAGTCCTCAGTATCTACAGTATCCAGGACTGTTTGCCCGAGGGCTCCCAGGGTTAACACTGAAGCTGGATAAAGGCGTGGTCCATGGGCCCAGTGGACTGTTACTCAGCCACGAAAAGGAACAGCCTGGGTCATTTGCAGAGGTGAGGCTGGACCCGGACACTGTCAGACAGGGTGAGGTGAGCCAGAAAGAGGCAGAGAGACGCCACACAGGAACGCACACATGGGGACCCTGAAGACAGCCTCATGTACGGAGCAGAGACAGGCATAGAGAACAAACCTATGGGTGCCCGGGGCTGGGGCGGGCGCAGGGTGAACTGGGGGCCTGGGGCTGCACATACGCGCTGCTGACAGTACAAGGCAGGAAGCTAAGTGGTGTGTCTGAGGAGTTAGTCGCTCCGTCGTGCCCGACCCTCTGTGACCCCGTGGACTGCAGCCCACCAGGCTCCTCTGTCTATGGGGTTCTCCAGGCAAGGATATCGGACTGGGTTGCCACGCCCTCCTCCAGGGGATCTTCCCAACCCGGGGATCGAACCCAGGTCTCCTGCACTGCAGGCGGATTCCTTACCAACTGAGCCCCCAGGGGAGCCCTAACTAATGAGAACCTGCCGTATAGATCAGGAAACTGCACTCAGTGCTCTGATGACCTAAGTGGGCAGGAAATCCAAAAAGGAGGGGATGTGTGTATACTTTGGCCTCCTGATGAGAAAAACGGACTCACTGGAAAAGACCCTGATGCTGGGAAAGATTGAAGGCGGGAAGAGAAGGGGACGACAGAGGATTAGATGGTGGGATGGCATCACCGACTCGATGGACATGAGTTTGAGTAAGCTGCGGGAGTTGGTGATGGAAAGGGAAGCCTGGCGTGCTGCAGTCCATGGGGTCGCAAAGAGCCGGACACAACTGAGCGACTGAACTGAACTGAACACGTCCACGTTTAGCTGATTCACTTTGCTGTACAGTAGAAACGAACACATTATAAGGCAACTATCTTCCAATAAAAGAGTTAAAACAACACCCACCCCACAGAGGGAGTGGATGCTGGGTGTGTTGATTTGTAGACAGGAAGTACCCTCCTGAGTAAGTGATATGGAATCAGCATTAGCTAGCTGGGAGTGGGGGGCATCGCTCTGGAGTCAGCAGCCCCAGGACACAGAGTCAACACAGGCGGGTGGGGACACACACTCTCACCCCCGGTGGCCCTGCCGAGCCCTCCCCATCACGGGATAAAGCGCAGCGCTCCGGATGGGTGTCTGGAGCCTCCAGTCTGGCCCCAGCTCTGCCACTTGCCCAGCTTACGACCATGGACATGTCAGCTTCTCAGATCCTTGGTCTCTTCATCTAAAAGATGACGGATACTGGCTGGGTGGTTTCTAAGACCTCTTCCAGCACCCAAATGTTATGAGTCCCTACTTGTAACCTGTAATATAGAGAATCTGCATTCCCGTACTTGTCAAGGAACCCAAACTAAATCCTAACAAAACTTAAGGATTTTCTACCCAAAGTCACAGAGAACTGCGCTATGACACCCAGACACCTTCCAACTTTCCTGGACAGAGCAGCTCTCAGCGGGCTGTTCACCAGGACCACACAGCAGACTTTGGATGGAGGTGCTTCTGCTTTGTATTTTGGTCTGACCGCCCGCGCTTGCAATCCAGAGCATCACAAAAGGCATCAGCGAGAAACGCAGGGCACTTAACAGAGGCTGCCTCTGGGGCTACTGCCCCCCGCTCCGACGTGGCGCCCTCTTCAGGAGGCCCTGCGGGGGACTTCCCTCTGGGCTCAGGGACAGAAAGAAAAGGGCGTGGGCTTTTGTCTGTGGTTTGAGCTCACGATGTGCCCCCCCCCCGGGCAGCCAGCAAGCTCTAGCTGGCCGCCAGCGGGCCTTGCCTTCCGACCTCGCCTCTGCCTTCAGATCCAGTTTCTGCCTTCTTTTCTTTGCCTCCATACTGGCACTTACTCATTCTTAAATCTCACATTGAAAATATGTGCCAACCTTATTGACGTCTTTGGGGAAAAGAAGGGCTATCAAGAAGGGAATACTCCCAGAGATGTGAGGTTCAGAGCAAAAGCCCACACAGGAATGACAATGAGGATGTCACAGACCTGAGGGCTGGGGCTGGCATGGGGCTGCGACCAGGGGCTGTGGCTTTCCCGCGTGGATCTGTCCGGGCTTCTGAAAGCGGACCCAGGCCTGGTTCCTCAAGGCCTCGGTTCTCTTAACTCCAAAAGCAGGAGGAGACGACTTTCATTCCCGTACAAAATCATTAGAAATATTTCTTTTAGGAGTGACTTTAAAGTGAAACATACATTTTCATGCATTTAGAGCTACAAATAAAAAACATTTATCAACAGCAAATTTGCATACAATGCATATGCACACTTAGAGATGTTCACTAAAACAAGAGAATCAGAATATTTCTTGCCCAAGTTAAACAAAATTATATGCACATTGTTGGAAACTCACAGATTTTCTTCAAAAAAGTGCTATGACTCACAGTCCTAATATCCCTGGTATGTCAGTGATTTATAAAACCCTGTATTATAAAACCCTTTTGTAAAGGCAGTATGTGAGATACAATTGAAAGTAACCTAAGAAGTCCAAGGGACAGACTGCAGGAGCTGTTCTGCGTGACCTGGTTTGGACTGTAGTCTGATGAGTGCTTGTCACACATGACTATTGTGTGTTTGCATTATTTCACTTTAAAATGGGCAGGCTCGGTAGGGGGCGGGAGGATTGGGGAGTCATCTAATGGGGACAGAGTTTCTGTTTGGGGAGATGAAAGCCTTCTGGAGATGGACAGTGGTAATAACTGCACAACAATGTGAATAAACATGCAATGCTGCTGAAAGTGGTTAAAATGGTAAATCTTATGTCATGTGTGTGTGCGCGCCTGCATTAGCCGCTCAGTCGCATACACGACTCTCTGCAAACCCATGGACTGCAGCCCGCCAGGCTCCTTTGTCCATGGGATTCTCCAGGCAAGAATACTGGAGTGGGTTAACATTCCCTTCTCCAGGGGGTCTTCCCGACCCAGGAATCGAGCCCAGGCCTCCTGAATTGCAGGCAGATTTTTTGTTTTTTACTGTCTGAACCACTAGGGAAGCTCTGTGTTATATATATTTTACTACAATTTTTAAAAGTTCTAAAAAATGTTTTACGAGCAAACTGCCAGATCTGATTCTCTTCACCTAAAACTTTACCTTTCAGTTACAGCTGCAATAAACATCAACTTTGTCACATTTCTCTCCCCTTCGTTTCTAAAACTGCAGGAAAACGACTGAGTGGCCCCGGTTCCCCTTGACTGTGAACATACACTGAAGAGCGATGTTAAATCCATTCTGGCTGTAACACGACCTCAGAAACAGGACGAACTAAAAACAATAACAGCTGTCACTCCAGCTTCTGACCTGCTCTTTGCCTCCACCCGTGACCTATGACCGTTTCACAGAATTTCACTCTGTCTCTGAAAACAGAGCCAACTTGCCCTTTCCGGGCCAAGATCTGTCACGGTAGCAGGTTCCCAGCAGCAAACAGAAAACGTCGGTTCTCTTCTGGAACTGGTACCCGCCCCGTTCCAGCGCGAGGGCTCGCCTACCTTTCCGAGAAACAGTTTCCGCAGCTTCTGGCGCGGCAGCCCGAGCATCCTCCGTCCCGCGCGTCCGGGGCCATCGCGCGCCGCGCAGCCCGGCCACCTCCTCCTCCCGCGGCTCTCGGGACCACGCCCCCCGCGGGGCGGGGCGGGCCGGGCCCGGTCCGGGCCGGCGGCGATTCTCCTGCCCGCCGCACTCGCCCACCGCGGGAAGGGCGCGGAGGACCAGCGCCAGGCCGCGCGATCCATCCCCGCAGTCACCCGCGGCGCTCCAAGCCCAAGCAGGCGGTTCGCGGTATCCCGCCAGAGTCCACGTGGACCGAGTCAAGTGTCCCAGCACTGTCCTAAGAGTCAGAGGAGCCCCGAGGGGCGGGCTGTGACCCTCCCCGCAGTACACTTGCCCCCCACCCCGCCCCGTCTGTCATTTACTCTGAGGGAGAGACATGGGGGGGGGGCGCTAGGGGGCTAGAAATGATGCCTTATCTTTTCAGGTGGCCCCAGGTCAACTACACGCACTGATTATGCAAGCATCACCTTATGTGGTTTTAATCCTTGGGGTAATCCTTCCACATGCATGCACAGATACACACGTGCACACACATGCACGCCCACACACACGCACATACACAACTCAGACATGTACCCGTGCACCCAGCGCCACAGGTGCACACTCTCCCACTCACATGCACTTCTCTCCGCACCTACTGCAGGCCAGCCTGGAGCACGTCCCATCTGAGAAAACTTGCTTTGCTGTCTCTGCAAACCGAGTCCGCCGCTTCCCCCGGAAGAATCAGCCTTTTGTGGCTGGCGTCAGGCTTTGTCTTGGTACTGCCGGAAGCATGCCCATGCAGCATCAGAGCCGCCAGGTCAGAGGTGGCCCTTTGTGGGTTAAGAGTTTCCTTTGTGAGCGTCTTTTTAATACATAAACAGGCTCCTCCTCTGAAGACCTAAACATGCAATATGAAAAATCCCACCAACTAACAAACAGCTTTTGTAAAAGTCAAGTGTTAGTCACTCAGTTGTGTCCGACTCTTTGGGACCCCATGGGCTGTAGCCCGCCAGGCTTCTCTGCCCGTGGGATTTTTCAGGCGAGGATACTGGAGTGGGTTGCCATTCCCTTCTCCAGGGGATCTCCTGACCCAGGGACAGAGCCCTGGTCTCCTGCATTGCAGGCAGAGTCTTTACCATCTGAGCCACCAGGGGAGCTTTATGTGACAGATAATAGATGTCATGGTTAAGGATGTGGATGTGGAAATATATTGGTATAAAATTATAGGGCATGAAAAGAAGGAAGAAAAGACAACAAGGAAATTCAAGACTGAAATGGACCAAAACTGCCCTATTTGGGACAGCCCATATGACATAGTCCTGTCCATCTCTTCCCTTCTCTAAAATGCTAAACGTGTCTTTTCCAATAAATGAAAATAGTTGAAGTACAGTTGCTGTTTCTCAAGAAGTTACTATTCCAGAAAATTGGTTTTTCCAAAACAATTTTGCATTCATTTCATTGCTTCTGGAGCTGTATGTTCTATTGAATAAATTAACATGCATTTATCCATGTAAATGTCATATTTATGTGTAAGTGTGCAGAAATGTATATACACATACATATTTATTTCAGATAAACAACATAGAAGAGAGTTTTGGAAGAGTAATCACTAGGTCAGTCCTCTGGAGGGGCATTCTAAGGTGTGATATTTATTAATCATACCTTCCATTAGAAAAACTATTAGGAACTGATAAAACAGGATTTTTTAAAAGGTGCATCACACACCTGACATGACACGTGCGTTTTTCCTATAGTGGAGCCACTGGCAATTAATGCAGACTATGGGGGAAAAAAATCACATATTGAGCTGTTACTTCAAGAACAAAGCATGGTTTGTTTCATGAGCCAAATTTTGGCAACAGAGGAAAATGCTTCTTTTTAAAAACCTCTCAATCATTGGTTTGCTCCTGAACACTGGCACAAAACAGGGAAATTAATGGAAACTGGTGCTCTTCCCATTCTCACCAAATTTCTTGTCTCTTATTTTTATTGGACCACGCAACCCCTCACATTTCCGTCTTGAATTCTTCTTTGTCAAATTGTCAGAAACTTAAAAGACATCCAGTTCTATTCCTTTTCCCTAAAATCAGTCCACATCTCACCCCTTGGAAAAGTCCTGGGTCTTAACATCTACTTGCCATCGCTCACAGAAACGAGCAATCTTTCTCGGGAGCTACAAGAAAGTGAGAGCTACAAGAAGTGACGTTACTCTTCACTAACAGAAGACCCAGCTCACACCGCCAAGGAGACCCACCAGCCAGCCCTGGCCCTCACGGAGGCCGCTGCGGACCCCCGAGAACAGGGGAAAGAGAAGTTTATGCGTCATCAAACCCTGCTCCCTGGCATTTGGGGATGGTGAAGGAGGAAATTAAACCTGAACTCTCTGGTCTTTCATTAACATTTTGTTTCGATGTTTGTAATAGTCCTTTACTTTTTAACATCCAGGCTTGATTGGAACTCAGAATTTGTTACTGAATTTTTGTGTGGGGGCATGGGAGGCTCCAGTATCATCTCGAACACATGGACTACAACTAGAAAGCTAATTTTCAGTGACTGCATCCTATCCAAGCCCTCGAAAAAGATGCTTATCTCACATGAGAGTGTTTTCAGCATAGCCAACATAAGGGTCACCTGGGTATGGTTATCTGGAGAAAGAAAAGTGAGCTCATTTGGGGCACAGACATCATCTCAGATTATTTTCTGTGCAGAATATGATAAAAGGCTTAAGAAATGTGTAAACATCTGCTTCTAAGGGTACGTCTATCTGATGTACTACCTGAAAGTAGAAACCCCAAGAGTTAAACAAGAGGCATCTCTATAGCATGAAAATCAGCCCACCAAACTCCTCCCCGCTGGACGTGCGCTCAGTCGCTCAGTCGTGTCCGACTCTGCAACCCCATGGACTGTAGCCCACCAGGCTCCTCTGTCCATGGGATTCTGCAGGCAAGAAGACTGCAGTGGGTTGCCATGCCCTCCTCCAGGGGATCTTCCTGACCCAGAGATCAAATCTGCATCTCTTAAGTCTCCTGCATTGGCAGGCAGGTTCTTTACCACTAACGCCACCTGGGAAGCCCCCAAGGGTGACACAGTGACTGCTCAGCACCTGGTCTGGTCATGGATTATGGGAAGCATGTCCTGGGAGGAGGAATCAAGCCCAGGTTAGGTGAACTCAAGCCACAGGGGTGCAGAGAGACAGTTCAATGAGAAAATGCCATCTTTCCTGCACCACACACTTTCCCCGAAACGCCTGACACAGTGCGCTTGTGGACAAGCCTCTCTCCCGTCGTCTCTGGTGGCGGCGTGCCCAGGTTCTGAGAGAGAGAGAGAACGGGGCAGGACGAAGGGAAGCTGAGGGTCTGCCTAAACTCTCCCCACCTAAAACCATCAGGGTTTTTGTGACAGTATTTTGGGGTATCCCAACTGCAATTCAATTCAAACTTCCAAGGGAATTAAAAGGTAATTATCTCGGGCTTAGTCCTTTGGAAATAGGTTAACAAAAAGATAGGGTCTTTGATCTGTGGCTCAGTCATGGTCATGTTAGATCCAGTGGCTTGTTTCAATAAAAAGCTTTCACTGTTGATAGAATTTCATTGCAGGTATATGTAAGTACGTGAACTGAATGTTGTCATGGTGACTGTGGCAATGAATTACCTTTTATTTTGTGCCATGGAAAATTGTCATGACAGTCTTGGCTTACTCATCTTCCAAATACATTCTTAAAAGAAATTATTTTGAAAAAGAGCTATCACTGTTTACTGGTCCCTGCTTGAAAGGACTTGTCAGATGGGCATCTATCCTCCAGCAGAAAAGCCAAAATGCGGGGACGATCAGGCCCAGGAAATAAACCACCGCCAGCACCTCTACAGAGCACCCATTTCGTGTTTCAGTGACACGATAACATCAACTTTGCAGCATTAGGCCCTGTCTTCCTCTGTAAAACCTGGAATTCCACTCCTCTGGGCCCCCACATGGGATCAGACAGACCATCGCAGAGCTGAAGGGTCCGAAAGCATCAGATGTGTCCAGCTCACGACCAGCAGGTGCTTGGAGCCAGGGGTGTGCGGGGGTATGGGTGATGGTCTTATACGGCGGGATCAAATCAGGGCCACGGGGCTCCCTAAGCACCCCAGCTGGAGGGTCATTATATTTTGCAAAGCCCAGTGGAAACCCTTGATCATGAATGAGCCCCTTCTAATAACGTGAGGGAAAAGTCTGTGAAAAGAATCTGAAGACCACAAGTGACAAATTCATCTACATCCTTATGAATGTATACATGTGTATGTTACACATGTATATTTATACATCATACATGAATGCATGCGATCTGACTGTTTATCTCCAATAAAGGATGACAGCCCCATCCTTTCAGTAGCCGCCCAGTCGGGTGACCTGGCCTAAGCGAGGTCACATTCACCGAGTGGCCGGGTGGGGTGAGGGGAGGGCCTCAGCCCAGGCCTGTGGGCTCCTGGTCTGCCCTCTTTTGATCCCAGCACACGACCACCCTCCTAGTAAAATTCAGTGCTGTCATGGACAGTATAAAGGACGGTCACCGTATTCCCAGGGAGGAAAACATCCCTAAGTGAAGTCGCGTGAAAAGGATCGCAGTATGAGGGCGGCATCGCCTCTCCGAGAGAGGAACACGGAGGCCGCGTCCTGTCGAAGCGGTGGTGGGTGCTGGCACTGTGAAGGCTTGGGCATCCCTAGACCAGCCAGCCGTGTTCCCAGGCCATGGGCCGCAGAGAGCCCGGGGCTGGCCAGCCAAGCAGCTCCCCCCCCGACAGTTAATCCCCCCCTTGTGGAGATGAAACGGCGCTCCTGACTGCATCTTCAGGTCCTGGGTGGGATCAGGCATGTTAGCCTGGAGTCTCACATGAGGCCAACTCATAACAGGAATGGTAGTAAAAAATCGTAGCTTTGTAGATTAATGTTTTATAGATTATGAAAGCCATAATTTCCCATAGTTTAGAAAATGCCACCCTAAACTGCAGTAGAAGGTGTGAGATAGCGAGCTCAAGCTTATAAGAGAAAATTGAAAAGCTTTTCTGCTTGCTTGAAAGACACAGGACTACAGGTCTACGCATCACCTTTTGGTTGCACACCAGAGCGAAGGGCTTCGTTTCCTTCAGCCCTCAGTTCCTCGTCTGAGAGCAGTGATGACCGGGAGGAACAGTGACCCTGGGGAACTGGCTGGCCAAGGGCAGGTGCTTGGCTCTGATACATGGAGAGAGCAAGTGGGAAGTGAGGGTGCTGGCTGTCACCTCGGCCTGTTAAAAATAGACAGAGCACTTCCTGCTTCTCCAGTTCACTGGAGGTCAGTGTCTCAATGGCCATCATTATGGCTGAGACATTTGCAAGGTGAGCTACAAACG